AAAAAGTCCCAAAAAACATTGAATATTTATTATTGGAGTTTATATCGCTATGCTAAAAAAAATACTAGAACAACTTAAATAATGTGGATTTTGACTATTTTGAGTTATCCAGATCATTATGATCTTAAAAATGTATGTCTGGTACTACTATAGTCAGGTATAAAAACATTCATTTATTTGAGCACAGTTGCAATATACATTTTTTCCTACGACCACTTAGGAAAGTGACACATATCACACTATATAGTCCTATGGAAAGTGCCCTATATCACACGCGTATGAATAAGAATTTACTTTCCACCCGAGTGAGAATATGTTACTTTCCGCAGTAGTTGTCACAAAATGTCAAACAGCTAATTTCTATTTTGATCTATGTAATATCCATATTAATACTAAAATCGATATGATTGTTAAATTATTGAAATTGTTGTAAATTAGATCCTAGATATTTATCTTTAACAATTATTATTAAAATAATTTTAAAATAATGTTTGCTCTTTATTCTGGTTGAATACATAATCGATTAGATCATTCAATTGACACAAGGGCTATTAGCTCAGGTGGTTAGGACGTCGAACTTATCAACTTTGCCATTTTTCGACCGCGTTCAATCGATGGTTCAAATCCTGGCGTGGCAGAAATTTTTTTTGTTTTTTTTTTATTTTTTTTCTAGTTTTTTTTTGTTTAAAAAATATGAAAATTGAATAAATACGATTATTGTTGATTATTTTTTTAAATACATTTTAATTATTATAGTAATAATAACCTTGGTTTTACATTTTTTTGATGATATTATTTTGTGGTCGTAGGAAAAATATTGTACATCACTTGTGTGAAAAGTGATTTTCCACACTCGTGTGATAGTCGCACTCGGTTTGCGCCTCGTGCGACAATATTTCCCACTCGTGTGAAAAATGTCACTTTCCACACTCGTAATGTAATATACTATATTTAGTTTTTAGGTTAATACCTAGTAGGACATCCGTAAATGACTTTCCGTTTGATGTAAGATTCATTATTCTACATTTTTATTGGTGAAATAGAATATTTTAAGATGTCCTACTGTTTTCTCTAATTATCTAAAAAGATTAGAACAACACAAAAGACTGGTTTAACAAAAAAGAGATATACCTTTAATTAAACACACAATTACTCAATTCAACTATATGATAATTTAAAGAAAAAATTCAGAAAACTTCTAAAAATGTGTTTTTACCATAACAAGGACATAATTATTAAAAAAAGTTGACACATTAACATTGACGATAGGTTTTTATAATATATATTATACAAATCATTACGAACTACACAAAATGATATTATTAATAATTTAGCAATAAAAAAGTTAAGTACAATGATGACATTAAAAGTTGATTTTCTCGAAATTACTTTTTTTAAATAGTCTCAGTACCTACCTACTATTTTTCTAGCACAGTGATATTATATGAATGTGCATTGTGTGATATCTTATATTTTAGGAATAAAATGATATATTTTTTGCAGGTTTCAGTTAACAACGATTCCAAGAACTTTTGAAAATATTATTAAAACGGCCTTTGCAAATATAATTCTTAATTAAGAGCTTCTGATCTAACATTAAATTTTTATTCTCCAAAAGGTTACAGCTACCTAAGAAGAAAGTTTAACAAGACTCTTAACAGACCCAAAATATCAAAATGGTACCAACCAATTGATGGTTCTACTGGTTTTCATAAGAAAATTCTCCTCAAAACTACTAAAAAAAATGTGGCAGAGGCAACCGAAGAAGACAAAAAAGTCTTTTGCAAAACAAAAACAAGAAATTTGTTTAAGAATCTATTTATATATTTTTTATATTCATATATGTTTTTTTCATTGAAACAAACGTTTATTAGCTTATTAAATATAATGAATTCATGTTGTTTTATTATATATGCTTGTACGAATGATTACTTTTATTTCCTTTTGAAAATGAATTTCGAAGATAAAGCCGAAACGGTGAGTGAGAATAAAAAATTAGACGAAAGTGACGATATTTACTGGAGCTTTCATCTACACGCTCCTTTTTCTAGCCATCTACACCTGAGTCAGCAAGATTCGTCTTCCCTCCATCCTTACATTCTCCAGATTTACAGAGAAAACGCCGTCCTCTTTAACATATCCGGACCTTCTTTGACGGGGACTATACCACTGCTTTACATTATCAGCTTTATTTGTTATCCCGAGCAATTTAAATTCATTTGTAATTGCTCATTCTCACCTCTTCTCTTGTAGATTCCTTACTCATTTTTCTTATTTTTAGTTACGTTTGCATTGCACAGCTTTAATTCTACAATGCTGTAACGCTACAATATGGATCCATTATTGTGGTTTATACTATTTAATTTTATTCGTATGTGACCGCAACCTATTATAATAAATATTATTGTATTACAGGCCTGAAGATGTCCCTGCGAGGCCGAAACTAGTGGCTTCTGTATTTATTTATAATAAGATTAATTTTAAGATTTTATTCTTTAATTAAAAAAATTAGACCTTTACAGTGATTTTGTTTCATCTCCTGCATCAGACACATATAAGACGGTATTCATTTTAAAAATAGTAAAATTAGCAAATTTTTTAGTTTTTTTTACAATTAAAATGTTTGGACAATGTCAGTTTTTATAGATAAATGATACGCCACTGAACAAGAAAGATGTTTACCTTCCCCCTTGTGCCCGCTTCCTCACTTCCTCTACAGATGTTGCTAACACAACAATCGCCTACAATCTCGTTTCAGGCTCCCTCTAGTAGTAATTCCTCGGAGCCTGTATCGGCAAAATTGACATCGACATCATCAGCTGATTTATTTTTTCTTATTCCATACAGGTTAAATGATGTCATAGATTTTATAATTTGAGAGGATTCGAAGTTTACTCAATTTTTTGTAAGTTGTGCTGATTGGGATGCCGATGTCTATATTGGTCAGAATGAATCAAATTATTAGAAGAAATCGATTAAAGCATGTTGTGAAATTATTGTACATTTTAATATTTTCATACATGTACCATGTACAATGGTACATTGTAAAGAATACCAACATTAACGCATAAAACGATAGTTATCATAAATGTGGCAACCTTACGTGACAACGCTATGCTGCTCTATTTACAATTCAGAAGAACCTATTATTCAAACAATGTTGCCAAATATATTTAATGAAATTCTTCCACTAAGAATAATAATAAAAATAATAGTTGTATTCGAATTCACCTTCACACGCTGAAACAGAAAGATGGGGTTTCTGTTATTTAAAAAAATAACAAATTGTTTTTAAACTGTTTGTTATCCTCCCCAAGTTTTATTAAATTTTGATTGCACCCGAAGATGGAAAAACTGTTTCCGAAACATATGTAGTGCTGTGTTAAAATAAAAACATGACCGAATAAACCTAGGAAATTTTTATTTATACTGATTTATATTGTGTTTCGATCCAAAAATGTTGACATAAAATACACATTTTGGCTAAACGCGGCCAAACCGTATAATTAATCAGTATTGAAAAGACGAATTTAAATCTCAATTTTTATAAATTTTTTTAATAATCAATGTTCATAATTATACAGGGTGTCCTATTAGTGCGTAATTGTTCAATATTTCAATTTGTGTCATAGACACGCAAACGCATATTTGATCGCTGTTTTATTATTAGAACTACGAAGAAATGTTTAACATAAAAGTTGTATGACCATATTTAACAATTATTCTTAAATATACAGGGCGGTCTATAAACGAGGTGCGAACCAAATCTATACTTTTTAAAAGCAAAACACCCTGCAGGTTGTTATATACATATTTTGTTATCTCATCGTCAAACAATTTTAATAAAATTGAGTTCATTCATTTGCTATGTTGTATAGGGTGTGTCAAAACGTGAGGTTACGATTTTCTCAGTTTTGTAAATGGACCCTGTATTAATTAATTGGTGGTATAACATATAGGGTATTCCATTTAAAAAATTGAGAAAATTATTACCCCGCGTTCTGACACACCCTATATACAACATAAATAAATGAAGTCTATTAAAATTGATTGACGATGTGAAAACAATCAAATATGGGTCAGCCCCTCGTTTATATTTAAGAATATTTATTGAAAAACGGTCACATAACTTTTTTATTATTTTTTTTTCGTATTTCCAATAATAAAACATCTATCGAGCAATTACGCACTGATGTGACACCCTGTATTTGTGTTAGGTACTGGCTAACATGTTGGTAGGTGGATAGGTAAATTTTAAGAAATTTCATGCTAAAATAATGCATTTGAAAGAATTAAGTAAATTGAACTTAAAATTAGCCATATTTAAGTGTTTTAAGACACTCTGTATAAAATAAACTAGTTCTATGACCACTATTCGTTAGCTTAGTATGTCTGCATTTTAAACAATTTTGAAATCATTGTAAACCTACCTAAATTATGATAATTTAATTTGGGGTCTGCATCATTCTCTAATTTTATAAAAAATTAATTGCTTGGCAACCCTGTAATATTAAAAAAAATCGTTTACTTATATTATGCTTGTAAAACCAATGGCTAAAGAGGCTAATAACCATATGCGATGCTATTTACACAATACAATAATATACAAATATGGTAAAAGTAAATTTAATATTTTGCGAATTATGATAAATTAACTCAATCTTTGGATGAAGTTCACTTTAAATTTAACCAAATTGAGCTTAGGGAAATTATAACTGCATAAACTGAAATGCCCATCTTTATTTTACAATGGAATTATTGCGTCTTTCAAATAAAATGCAGCCATCAGCCAGCCCAGCCAGTCCAAGCACGTACCTGCGAGTTTAGAAGAATACATTTTTATTCGCAGATGGGAAAATGCAGAATGTATATTTGTTACGTAGTTGCCAACTAGAGGTAGCACCTCTCGGGTAACTTTATTTTGTCTCTTTTTGGGAGGACTTGTTCAGACTTCTCTGTTCCCTTGTACGGTCTTAACTCCAATTTTGAAATATTTACAGGTACGTTCTTCTCAACGAAGCTTGGGATTTGGTAAAGGAAGGCGTGTTGGACGTAAAAGACATCGACAAAGTAATGTCAGAAGGTCTTGGTATGAGATACGCTTTCTTAGGAATTCTGGAGACCACGCATCTGAATGATCACGGTTTTGTTAATTATTGCAAAAGTTACGCCGATACCATCTACGCTGTGAGCCAAGATTTCAAAGCTCCCACCAAGTTTCAAGGACCTCAGGTTTTGGAGATTGCAAAGCAGTTGGAAAGCGATGTACCATTGGATAAATTACAGGTAAATTATAGTTTATCTATTTATATTTAAAGTATTACAGGAATCTGTATGTTTCAAGTTGCCTTGGTCGTAATAAATTGTTTTAACATTGATGTTGTATTATATTCAATTTGACAGCTGCGCCATTTTCAGAGGTAATATACCAAGACTTTAATGAATAGTTAGCTATTTTTGTTGCAACTAAATCTCGAGAATATTTTATTATCAAATTGATGAGACATAATTTTGGCATTATAAATCAATTGATTAAAGCCCTCGAGTTAAAGCTCTTATGCTCTAGCCCGAGCTTTAGCTCGAGGGCTTCAGTCAATTGATTTTTAAAGCCATAATTATGTAAAACCAAATTGTAAAATATTCGAGAAATTTAGCAACAACAAAAATAGCAGAATATTAATCAAAGTCGTGTTATATTTGGGACGACTATTTCACTAGACCAAATATTGACTATTCTCTAGAGCAGTGATACTCAAAGTGTGGTCCGCGGAGCCCTGGGCTTCGCAAAGCCTTCGTGGGGGCTCCGCGAAGAAAATAATAGTCATAATAAAAAAAGCAGTACTATCGCCACAAAAGGGAGGGAAGGACCTTTTTTACTTTCCTATCTGTATACAGATATAAGGAAAGTATAGGAATCATGATTTTTTTTTACCTCGAGTTTTCGACGGATTTGTGTGTGTGTGTGTGTGTGTGTGTGTGTGTGTGTGTGTGTGTGTGTGTGTGTGTGTGTGTGTGTGTGGATGCGGGCGTGCGTGCGTGCGTGCGTGTGTGTGTGTGTGTGTGGTGTGTGGTGTGTGGTGTGTGTATCCACCATAACTAATACATAGAAAAACACCAAATTTTAAACTTAAGCTTTATTCCAGCGTCCAATGAACTGATTAGATTTTGGGCAGAGACGGAACATCTGGGGTCATTTTTATATTTTATGGAATATATCTGTTATTTACGTTCGGAGAAGAAAATTCTTCAAATAAAAGTTACTTTTCTAATATTATTGTCTATAATTTTTGTTTTATAGAAAATTTTCCTAGTATTTGAAAAAATGTAAAATGTAAGTTTTATTTCGGCCTGACGTGAAATGATTAGATTTTGGACAAAGTCGGAACATCTGGGGGATACTTTATGGGGGCCGTTTTTATATTTTATGGAATATATCTGTTATTTATGTTTAGAGAAAAAAATTGTTCAAATAAAAGTTACTTCTAATATTATTATCTATAATTTTTGCTTTATGTCAAAATTTCCTGAAATGGTTCGCATTCGAGAAATTTGACAAAATTTGCAAAATTCTGATTTTTATGAAAATTGTTGAACTAAAAGTTGTTTGCGATATCGATCTCTATAATTTTTGTATATACATGATTTTTCTAAAATGGACCGTAATGGAAAAATTGTAGGAAAAGTGCTAAATTTAAATTTTTTAGTATTTTCGTTTTCAATGAATATTGAAAAATGTTTCGAGGTAGATGTATGTGGAAAATGTATATATTTAGTTTATCCTCTAAACATTTATAGAGGTGCTGCAATAGGTTGTACAAAATAACCGGAAAAAGCCTATAATAACTAGATAGGAAAGTCATGTGTTGGACACATCAGATTTTTTTGTTAGCAGTCACTAAGAGGAAGGAGGATATGATTTTGCTTTGGAGAACCTTTTTTTTTTAAATGTGTTTAGGGTTCCGTCAAATATTTCGCTTTTCAAAAAGGTTCCGTCACCAAAAAAGTTTGAGAAACACTGCCTCTAGAGAAATAGTCGCTGATGTTTGGTCTAGTGAAATAGTCAATTTAAAATATATGATTTAGTTAAAAACATAGATTAGAGCATCAAATTGTCACCTTTTTTTCTAAAATATTGGTTCGCAGATAAAATATTCTATGAGATTTGTGTGTAAAGTGTTCTAATGTACTACTGATCCTGATATCGCAAAAAAATTTATTAACAAATTGTTCTATTTCTTAAAATTGGCCAAAACCGTAATTTAACATTTTTTACATTAATTTCAGAAAAGAAGAAATTGGAGGGATCTTGCATTGACCAAACTCAGCCAGCTAAAGAAACAAATGAATAAGCTTAAGTAAAAACAAGACATTGTTATGAATTAAAAAATATATATTAATGATCGAGAAGTAGAACATGTTTTTTATTTATTCTTTATATTGGTTATCGACCTTGTTTGATCATAGTGAAAGGAATCGGTAACGTAGTATGTTTGAACGATCTGTATTTATTTACAGGCCTTTTAGTGGCTTAAGGAACACAGTTTCAGAGCCTAGAGCAGATCATGTAAAATTTTAATTAATGTGTATGATTAGTTGTAGGATTTGATGTGTTCCGTATTGACAGTAATTTATTTTATGTTGATATATTATCTAGATTACAAATCGCAGTGTATTACCGTTTCGGCGATAATGAGTAAGATTGTCCTCATCTGTAAGTCAAATGACACCATTATTCATTAATCATCTTTAACTCCCCCCAGGCAAATTATAATAATAGCCGTCCCCTCCCGACACAAGCTCAGTCGACATGAGAGGAAAAAATCAGTCAAGTGTGTGTGTGTGTGTGTGTGTGTGTGTGTGTGTGTGTGTGTGTGTGTGTGTGTGTGTGTGTGTGTGTGTGTGTGTGTGTGTGTGTGTGTGTGTGTGTGTGTGTGTGTGTGTGTGTGTGTGTGTGTGTGTGTGTGTGTGTGTGTGTGTGTGTGTGTGTGTGTGTGTGTGTGTGTGTGTGTGTGTGTGTGTGTGTGTGTGTGTGTGTGTGTGTGTGTGTGTGTGTGTGTGTGTGTGTGTGTGTGTGTGTGTGTGTGTGTGTGTGTGTGTGTGTGTGTGTGTGTGTGTGTGTGTGTGTGTGTGTGTGTGTGTGTGTGTGTGTGTGTGTGTGTGTGTGTGTGTGTGTGTGTGTGTGTGTGTGTGTGTGTGTGTGTGTGTGTGTGTGTGTGTGTGTGTGTGTGTGTGTGTGTGTGTGTGTGTGTGTGTGTGTGTGTGTGTGTGTGTGTGTGTGTGTGTGTGTGTGTGTGTGTGTGTGTGTGTGTGTGTGTGTGTGTGTGTGTGTGTGTGTGTGTGTGTGTGTGTGTGTGTGTGTGTGTGTGTGTGTGTGTGTGTGTGTGTGTGTGTGTGTGTGTGTGTGTGTGTGTGTGTGTGTGTGTGTGTGTGTGTGTGTGTGTGTGTGTGTGTGTGTGTGTGTGTGTGTGTGTGTGTGTGTGTGTGTGTGTGTGTGTGTGTGTGTGTGTGTGTGTGTGTGTGTGTGTGTGTGTGTGTGTGTGTGTGTGTGTGTGTGTGTGTGTGTGTGTGTGTGTGTGTGTGTGTGTGTGTGTGTGTGTGTGTGTGTGTGTGTGTGTGTGTGTGTGTGTGTGTGTGTGTGTGTGTGTGTGTGTGTGTGTGTGTGTGTGTGTGTGTGTGTGTGTGTGTGTGTGTGTGTGTGTGTGTGTGTGTGTGTGTGTGTGTGTGTGTGTGTGTGTGTGTGTGTGTGTGTGTGTGTGTGTGTGTGTGTGTGTGTGTGTGTGTGTGTGTGTGTGTGTGTGTGTGTGTGTGTGTGTGTGTGTGTGTGTGTGTGTGTGTGTGTGTGTGTGTGTGTGTGTGTGTGTGTGTGTGTGTGTGTGTGTGTGTGTGTGTGTGTGTGTGTGTGTGTGTGTGTGTGTGTGTGTGTGTGTCTGTATCCACCATAACTCATGAACCGATACAAAGAAACACACCAAATTTTATACTTAAGCTTTATTCCGGCGTCCAATGAACTGATTAGATTTTGGGCGGAGTCGGAACATCTGGGGGTACTTATAGGTGGTCATTTTTATTTTTTATGGAATATATCTGTTATTTACGTTTGGAAAAGAAAATTTTTCAAACAAAAGTTACTTATATTATTAATATCTATAGAAAAATATTTCGAGTTAGATGTATGTGGAAAATGTATATATTTAGTTTAACCTCTAAATATTTATATAGGTGCTGTAATAGGTTGTACAAAATAACACATCAGAATTTTTTGATTAAAGATCACTTGACCTGAGCAGATATCAAAGTTACGCCACGTCCATTGTCGTTCTACGCTTTCAACCCCTAGACGATCTCGACCAAGGGGTCACTTGAAAACTTTTTACTAGATATGGGTATAATAGAATAAGATTTCAAACTTCCACTAATAGAATGAAATGCAATAGATTCAAATTGTCAATTTTTAATGACCAATTATATCACGAGAAGAGAACTCCTGGCAGTTGTGAAATGCGTGGAACACTTCTACCAATACCTATATGGAACGAAATTTTTAATCCGTACCGATCATGCCGCTCTTAAGTGGCTGATTCAGTTCAAAAATCCGGAGGGCCAAATCGCCAGATGGATTGAACGTTTTTAAGAGTACGACTTTAAGATCGAATATAGAGCCAGGATAAGTCACAGAAATGCCGATTCTCTTTCTAAAAGACCGTGTACACCAGAGTGCTCCCACTGCAACAAAGCGGAATCCAAAGAAAGTGGACTACTAAGAACAACTGTAGTCAACGATGAGTGGGCTCATGCTAAAATTAGGGAAGAACAAGAGAACGATACCGTTCTAAAGAAGATGCGACAATGGAAAGAGGAAAATCGTAGACCTACTTGGCAAGAAGTATCTAATCTCTCTCCAGTAGATAAATCATATCAGCTCAGTGGGACTCCTTTATCCTGGAAGACGGCTTATTAAAGCCAGTACTTGAAAATGATGATGGTTCCGAGAACAGAAGACAGTTTGCATTCCAAGGAGTAGAGTCCGAAGTACTTCGTCAGTTACACGACAGTCCATCAGGAGGGCAACTCGGTGTTAGGAAAACCCTTCAGAGAGTTCATGAAAGGTTTTATTGAATGAATAGTTCCGATGATGTAAAGGACTGGTGTAATAAATGTACCAGCTGTGTTATGAGTAATGGACCTCAGTGATAAAGGAAAGCTCCCATGAAGCAAGACAACGTTCGTAGCCCATTTGAGAGGATCGCCTTAGATATTGCTGGACCATTTTCCACGACCGAGAATGGTAATAAATACATGATGGTGGTTATGATTTATTTCACGAAGTGGGCGGAAGTCTACGCAATTCCAAATCAAGAGGCCGCAACTGTTGGAGATGTGTTGATAAAAAAGTTTATTTGTCAATTTGGAGTGCCCTTGGAGATCCACGGTGACCAAGTATTAAGTTGAAATTAAACTCTTTTGACTTTACGTTATTTATTTTTAAGTCGTAATGACATTGATTATCAAAGCCAGGTACATAGTATATAACGTGTAGGCCGTAGCAAGGAATATAGTATACAACATCAAGGCAGAAATTTTGAAAGCCAACTCTTCCGTGGAATCTGTGACAGACTAGGCATGAAGAAAACCAGAACCACAGCATGGCACCCACAATCTGATGGAATGGTAGAGCGAATGAATAAGACCATTGGAAAATATCTGTCAAAAGTGGTTTCAAACCATCAGCGAGATTGGGATCAGCATCTTTCGCTCTTTGCATTGGCTTATAGATCCGCTGTCAATAAATCGAGATATTGTTGTGTAAAGATAAATTATCAATATAAATTAGTATGCGAGTATGTGTTTGAGATATAAATAGTAATAGGTATACATAAATTAGTGTACTTAGTAAATAATAAATAAAATAAATAAATAAAATAAATAAAAAAAGTAAATAATAAATAAAAAATAAATAAACGTTACCCTATTTTGTCTTCTGTAACTATAGTCTATTTTTATGTATGAGAGAGTACCTGTGTGAAGATAGAAACAGCAGTTAGCAACGGAAAAAAGTGGTGAAGATAGAAACGATATTTAGCAACGGTAAAAAAATGAAATTAATAAAACTAAGAATTTTTTGTATAAATATTATGAACCTACTAATCAATTTTTAAGAGACGTGACGGTGCAAATAATTTTTCCCAGATCTTTGTCGGGGGTGGCAAAATGAATTTTTAAAATTGACGTGTGTTAATCAAGAATTAAAAATATAGAAAAGTGTACCGTTTCTAAAATGGTACACACTGTATTTTTTAATTATAGTAGAGCAATGTTTATAAAACTTGATGATGTTCTCACTTTTTTTAGAACTCCATCGGGGGCGGTGGAAATAATTTATATATTTAACGTATTGAATACGATTATTAACCAAGATTAAAAATATGGAAAAGTCCACCGTTTCTGAGTTGATACACCCTGTATTTTTTATATGTAGTAGAGGAATGCTTATGAAACATGATACCATTATCTGTTTTCTCACAGCTCCATCGGGGGCGGTGGAAATAATTCCTAAATTTAACATAAAATTATTACATATTTACCAAAAATAGAAATACAGAAAAGTCCACCGTTTCTGAGTTGATACACCCTGTATTTTTTATATGTAGTAGAGAAATGCTTATAAAACATGATACCATTTTCTGTTTTCTCACAGCTCCATCGGGGGCGGTGGAAATAATTCGTAAATTTAAAGTAAAATAATTACATATTTACGTAAAATGGAAATAAAGAAAAGTCCACCGTTTCTTAGTTGATACACCCTGTATTTTTTATATGTAGTAGAGAAATGATTAAAAAACATGATACCATTATCTGTTTTCTCACAGCTCCATCGGGGGCGGTGGAAATAATTCCTAAATTTAACATAAAATTATTACACATTTACCAAGAATAGAAATACAGAAGAGTCCACCGTTTCTGGGTTGATACACCCTGTATTTTTTATATGTATTAGAGGAATGTTTATAAAACTTAAAGTCACTATCAATTTTCTCAGAACTCCATCGGGGGCGGTGGAAATAATTCGTAAATTTAATGTTAAACTTTTACATATTTACCAAGAATAGAAATACAGAAAAATCCACCGTTTCTGAGTTGATACACCCTGTATTTTTTATATGAAGTAGAGAAATGCTTATAAAACATGATACCATTCTCTGTGTTCTCACAGCTCCATCGGGGGCGGTGGAAATAATTCCTAAATTTAACATAAAATTATTACATATTTACCAAGAATAGAAATACAGAAAAGTCCACCGTTTCTGAGTTGATACACCCTGTATTTTTTATATGTATTAGAGGAATGTTTATAAAACTTAAAGTCACTATCAATTTTCTCAGAACTCCATCGGGGGCGGTGGAAATAATT